CTCCTTTCATAACGTACAAGTGGGCCATTAAGGCACACGTGGGCAGCTGCCGCTTAACCATCATCAGTGTGGGCCGCCTTGTACACGAGGGGCACCGTAAGAGGGATGTTGTATTGTAAGAACAAAAAAATTGGGAGGCCTCCCAACGAGTACCAACGGGATTAGCTCAGCTGGTACACCCATGAACTCTTGAAATACAGACCCAAGTTCGAGTCCAGATGTAATCAGATGAACTGACCGAAATATTTCTGAGTTACCTGGGGCCGGTTGGTTCAATGATGAAATCAAAGGCCGCCGCCCTTGAAACTAATCTTCAGCAGCACTGCAGGATGTCAACAGTTGCCTTTGGACCAGCAACAACTGGTGGCTCCTGCCAGGAACTAATTATCAATCTCGTTTCTTGGTCAGCAGATAAGACGGTCACCTGTTATATTACTAACTGTCTCATTGTTGGGTTGATCGGAACTTGATCCCTCTCAAGTATGCTGCATTGCTTGCATAAAGGTAACAAGATGACCCGCCGCGGCTTCGCCTGCGGCAAGAAGAGCACAGAACGTGAGAGATGAGGAAAAGGGAGGAGATAAAAGACGCAGAGATCCGGATGAGGCCAATCACAATTGAGAAAAGTTGTGGAAGACATGTAACATTTCATGAGGACTTCCCCCTCCCCATCCCGACCCTCCGACCCTTTCTCCCCATCCCGACCTCCTTCCCCCCCCCCCTGCCCCCCTATCCTGACGTCCGGACCTGTCCCTCCTGATTCTTTCAGTGGTCTTTATTATGGGAGTGACTTCGTCGCTCCTGTGACTTTATCTCCGTTTTCGATCCCGACTTCCCCCCTTGCCAATCCCGACATCGATCCCGACTTCCCCCCTCCCCTATCCCGACCTTGTCACCCCCATCCCGACCTCATCGCTTCTCCGACCCCACCTACCTTATTGATCTTGACTTCCCACTCCCCTATCCCGATATCGTCGTTCCTCCAACTCGGGCTCCCCCCTCCCCTATCCCGACGTCGTCACTCCTCCAATCAATCAATCAATCAAAAAAAAAAAAAAACCGATTTCAAACGCCGCGCAAGTGTGTGTAAGTAACTCGGGCTCCCCCCTCCCCTATCCCAACGTCGTCGCTCCTCCAATCAATCAATCAATCAACAAAAAAAAAAAGAAAAAAAAGAAAGCCCGATTTCAAACGTGTGGGTGGTGTATGTGCTGTCTCTTATACACATCTAGGGAGGTGGGGGAGTCGCGATCGCGGTTGGGCGTGGTCGAGGTCGGGGTAAGTCGGGGGGTAATGCGCAGCGGGGGGGAATGTTGGGGAAAGGGGATCCCATTTGGTGTCGGGGTAAGGGCGCGGAATGGGGATCGGGGGGGGAGTCGGGGGAGTCGGGATCGGGGAATTGCACGGGAAGCGCGTGGGGAATCGTGCAGGAATCAGGGTCGGGAAGGGCGGAGGGATCGTGCGGGAGGAGAGGGCGGGAAATGGGACTAGGTAGGCAGCGGGGGGAAGAGAGGATCGGGGGGGGAAGGAGAAGAGGAGGGAAGAAGAAGGTAAGGAAGAAGGTAAGGAAGAAGGAGAAACGACGACGACGTCGAAGAAGAAGAAGAAGAAGAAGAAGAGGAAGAAGATGAAGAAGAAGAAGAAATGTGGAGGAGAAGAAAGACGAGGAAGAAAGAACAAAAATTTGCTGGTAACTTACCTGCGCGTCGACGGTGACGATGACGTGGCAGCGACGACGGAGACGATGATGGCGATGATGTGGCGACGTCGATGGGTACGAGGCAACGCTGATGATGACGTGGCAGCGACGACGGAGACGACGATGGCGATGACGTGGCGACGTCGACGGTGAAGAGGTAACGATGATGTCGATGACGTGGCAACGACCGTGACGGGGTCGACGGCGACGATGATGGGACAGGGCGGGAGGGAGGGCCGGAGCCGCTCCGATACCAGTGTGACGGGGCTGAGGCAGAGCAGCGAGGTCGGGGAAGAGAGGGAGGGAGTGAGAGCACACACACACACACTCACTCAACTCGACATGGACTCGACATGACTCAACGTCGCAAAGTCGCAAGCTTGGCTCCGTACACAATGTCGCAGCAAGTTACACTGAAGCACAAGCACTGAGGCTGAAAACTGAGTCCCCGAACTCAGCTTGAGTCCGGTCTTAAGTACCGGACTCAAGTTGAGTCCGAGGGCAAAAGTGCAATTGCCTCGGGGCTGAACTGAAAATCGAAGGTCTGAGCCTGGGCGCCAGAATGCCGGATGGCGCCAAGTACGGAATCTGAAAGTGGCAGAGGCGGGATTTGAGAACGGGCGCCAACTGCAGAGGACGCCAACAGTCAGGAACTGGAGATCAGAGACTCCCAAAAAAAAATAGAATAGCAGCCTGGCAGGTGGTAACCCACGGACCAGGGATCCAGCCTTGGCTGGGTCCGTAACACATCCCCTCCTCTACATTGTGGGTCGGCTTTTTGTTTGCTGTTATCATCTTCACAATCGACAAATTGAGGCCCATTTCCATGTGGTAAAATAGGTTGGTAGGCACCAAAACTGAGCCAGCAGGAAGAGAATTAAAGATGACATTGAGGACCAAATGAAGTAGCCAACTCGTTCGGCCTTCCGTCTTGGTGCTGCTCTAGACTGTACCATCTTGCAGTGCACATGCAGCAAAAAGAAACAGGTTTGCACTGTGGGTGCAAAACAGAAGGGGAGTCTACATCTGGCTAGCTCTACATACTTTAAGCCCGCCAAGTCTTGCAAGCTGCCCATGACACCAACTTCAGTTACTGCATTGTATAAAACTGCATTTCACATTTTGACATGCTAAAATGATAGTATGATCATTCTGATGTACATCTGGAGCACTATAAACTGGCACAGATTATGTGTAAGACTATCTGCTTTTTCTTTTCTGTGGGTGTGAAGCTATGTTAATGTATGTGGTAATGTGTATGCTTATATGGATTGCTGGATGGATCAGGTCTGAGCATTTCAGAGGAGTCATTGACTCTTTTGGACAATACTTTTCTCTTGGCAGAGATTATGCAAGCAAGGGAAGTGAGTATTACTTTTGCTTTTGGCACCGAGAGGATAGAAAAACAAAAAGAGAAAAGAGTGGACTCAATGTACTCAACTGAAATGGCTATTGGGTATTTGGCCATTGTTTCTATTGCCCCTTTGTTGGGTTCATTAATGACGAGTGATAGTTGTTATTTGTGTAGAATCATCATAGATTGTGATTGGAATCTTTTATTAGTTTATTCAACTTTATTGTTCGTGTGATTCATTGAAGTGTATAGTAATTGAATGACTTTATAATGCTGGGATGGATATGAAACCAGCATTGCTGAGTTTCACTTCCTTGAGTTAAAATATCATCACTCGTAAGAGTGTCAACTGCGCAAAATGTGGAACCGGTCTCCTGTGTCCAGGAGCTTAAACTGTGAACACCTTTAGTATATTGGAGCCAAGACTGATTGACCGTTCAATAAGTGGATGGATGGATGGACAAATGTGCAGACAAACACGACAGACGGATGGGTGAACAGCCAGCAGGACAAGTAGGCACGTGAACGAACAGGCTCCCTGAGGATAAATACAGGCAAATGTGCACACGCACACAGACACACACGCATACACACACACCACACACACATCAGTATTATGAAAGGATAGTCCGTGCAAGTTCTTGCTTTCACACATATGATGACAGTCAGTACTGCCACGTAGCCTGTGACATTTGCCTGCGCCGCGCCATTCAATGGAGCAACTGTGACTGCGAGAATTGGATGCAGTGCTTCCACAGTCCACACCCGAACCGGTCTTGTCCTTTTTGTAGGGGTGGCCACTTACCATAGGCAACAGTTAATCCTCAACTCTGAATCTTACGCAACCCAAAACACTGACTGGCCTCATGTACCATTCTAGAGTAGTCTGCTCCAATGGTGAGTATTCAGAATTCTGTGAAGTTTTTCATCTCTCCCCTGTCCTTCGCACTCCACCCCCTACCCCTCACTCCCTATAGAGCTCCGCCTCCTACCCCTTTCCCTCCACCTTCCCCTTATGGGTTACAAACAAATACATGCGAATGAGCATCGTTAAGAGAACAGACAAAGTATAAGCAGAAGATCTGAAGTGAAATGAACAGGAGTATGCCTCCCCCTTTACTCTGCCTCCTTTCATAACGTACAAGTGGGCCATTAAGGCACACGGGGACTCTGACTCCTTTCATAACGTACAAGTGGGCCATTAAGGCACACGTGGGCAGCTGCCGCTTAACCATCATCAGTGTGGGCCGCCTTGTACACGAGGGGCACCGTAAGAGGGATGTTGTATTGTAAGAACAAAAAAATTGGGAGGCCTCCCAACGAGTACCAACGGGATTAGCTCAGCTGGTACACCCATGAACTCTTGAAATACAGACCCAAGTTCGAGTCCAGATGTAATCAGATGAACTGACCGAAATATTTCTGAGTTACCTGGGGCCGGTTGGTTCAATGATGAAATCAAAGGCCGCCGCCCTTGAAACTAATCTTCAGCAGCACTGCAGGATGTCAACAGTTGCCTTTGGACCAGCAACAACTGGTGGCTCCTGCCAGGAACTAATTATCAATCTCGTTTCTTGGTCAGCAGATAAGACGGTCACCTGTTATATTACTAACTGTCTCATTGTTGGGTTGATCGGAACTTGATCCCTCTCAAGTATGCTGCATTGCTTGCATAAAGGTAACAAGATGACCCGCCGCGGCTTCGCCTGCGGCAAGAAGAGCACAGAACGTGAGAGATGAGGAAAAGGGAGGAGATAAAAGACGCAGAGATCCGGATGAGGCCAATCACAATTGAGAAAAGTTGTGGAAGACATGTAACATTTCATGAGGACTTCCCCCTCCCCATCCCGACCCTCCGACCCTTTCTCCCCATCCCGACCTCCTTCCCCCCCCCCCTGCCCCCCTATCCTGACGTCCGGACCTGTCCCTCCTGATTCTTTCAGTGGTCTTTATTATGGGAGTGACTTCGTCGCTCCTGTGACTTTATCTCCGTTTTCGATCCCGACTTCCCCCCTTGCCAATCCCGACATCGATCCCGACTTCCCCCCTCCCCTATCCCGACCTTGTCACCCCCATCCCGACCTCATCGCTTCTCCGACCCCACCTACCTTATTGATCTTGACTTCCCACTCCCCTATCCCGATATCGTCGTTCCTCCAACTCGGGCTCCCCCCTCCCCTATCCCGACGTCGTCACTCCTCCAATCAATCAATCAATCAAAAAAAAAAAAAAACCGATTTCAAACGCCGCGCAAGTGTGTGTAAGTAACTCGGGCTCCCCCCTCCCCTATCCCAACGTCGTCGCTCCTCCAATCAATCAATCAATCAACAAAAAAAAAAAGAAAAAAAAGAAAGCCCGATTTCAAACGTGTGGGTGGTGTATGTGTGTGTGTGTGTGTGTGTGTGTGTGTGTGTGTGTGTGTGTGTGTGTG